ATCACAGAGGGCAAGTGAGGAGGAGGAGAAACTGTGGGAGCAAGAAGATGGGAGGCAACGGCTGAAGCTGCAGACACACGCGCAACAGAAGCGCGCAGCACTGTCGCTACCAGGCACAGTGCCCCGGACTACACGGCGACAGACACTCGGGCAACAGGAACGGCGCGCACAGTGGCTACCGGAGCACTCAACCTCCGGACTACAGGAGTAACTGGCTCCGCACTAAGCTGCAGGAGCAACGGACCCACGGGCGACTGGCGCAGCAGGCTCGCTGGGCTACCGGAGTACTCAACCCCCGGGCTACTGGCGCTGCAGACGTCACACCGGCTACCTCCTGTCAAACTCCCCCAACTATCCCACACCCCTATCACACACCCCCTGTTGAACCACTAGCAACGCTCACACGCCACCCCCCTCCTAACGGCTCCAACACATCCACCCCCCTGAGCGGCAGCTGCAGCAGTGGGAGACGGAGGAGGAGGAGGAGCAGGGGATGGCGCACACACCCGTCACCCCCATACTCGCCACCCCCACACTCGCCACCCCCAAACCCTAACACAGGCAGGAGCTGGGGGGGCGGTGCGCGGGCAGCAGCTCAGGGGAGGGCGCGCGGCTCCCCAGGGCGCCTCGACGGGGCAGCAGGGCAGCCGCGCGCGGCTCCCAAGGGCGCCGCGACGAAGCAGCGGGGTCGCGCGCGGCTCCCCAGGGCGTCGCGACGGGGTAGAAGGGTCGCGCGCGGCTCCCCAGGGCGTCGCGACGGGGTAGCGGGGGCCGCGCGCGGCTCCCCAGGGCGTCGCGACGAGACAGCAGGGGGCAGCGCGCGACTCCGCGAGGCGACGCGACGGGCGACGGGGGGGGGGGGGGGGGGGGGGGGGCTTCGACGGGGGAAAACCGCCGCGCGCCTCGGGGCGCACGGTGGGAAGAAAAATCCGTTGCGCACCACTGGGCGCACGACACACAGAGTAGCAGCGGAAGCTAACGGGTGGGACCACCCACAGGATCGACCCAGGAGGGTCGACCTGCTCTGATAGCATGTTAAAATCACTAGGCAGAATCAAGAAACAGGCAAGAAGGGTTTTCACTAACAAGCATAGGGATACATATAGCAAACCCTAGAAGGGCTGTACTCGCTATAGAGTACCCCATTGCAGGCTAGACAAACATAACATTCTGACATGGGCTTCGGTGAACTTCGCGTGGAGCGGGAGTTAGTTGTTGCGTAGGAGTTGGTGGTGTGTCGGTGATGACGGCCGGTGCTGTTGAAGGACCAGCGATTGGTGCCGGTGGTGCTTCTGCTGCTGTCGATGTTGTTTGTGCTGCTGCCGTTGTTGGCTCTGCTGCTGCTAATGTTGTCTCTGCTGCTGCCGATATTGTCTCTGCTGCTGCCGATGTTGTCTGAATCGTTGCTAGCGCTCTTGTTCGCTCTGCCTCCGGAATCGTGTTTGAGTACCAGAAGCCGCCGGGGCTGAAGTCGGGGTCAAGGTCGGGTGGATGCGTCCAGGAGATGAACGCTGTCGACAGTGCCTTGATCAGGAACGAAGTCGAGGACGAAGACGTTGTTCTTCAATACTGCTTTCCCGATGGACAATCCGCCCTTTCCGTGGTACAGCTTGAACTCTTGAGCGGTGGTACTGTTTGCTTCAAGATGAATCCCTTTCGCCATGAGTTGGCTGACACTCAGTAAGTTGTAGCCGAATCCATCTGCAATCAAAACTTTTGACATTTGTAAGATGACGTTCGTTTCTCGTGACTGAAGTTGAACAACTCCTTGTCGTCGTGTGCGCAGGTTCTGGTTGTTGGCGACGGTGATGACAACTTCGCGCTGTAATTGGTGTTCTTTCTAAACGAAGCGGCTGGAGGAACACGTGTCTTGTCCGCAGCAACTGTCCAAGAACCAAGTGTCCTTTCCAGAAGGCTCGCTTTGGGCGATGGCTGCGTACGTTGGGTTTGGTTCCAGTGACTCGCGACGAGGAGTTCTTTCGTCGAGCAACTCTTCTGGTGAGTAGTGTGGCGGTTACACGGTGATGCAGGAGTCTGTGATTCTTGTCATGCAGCTCACGATGTTTCTTGTCTGTTGTGCAGGTGATGTTGACGTCGTTGAAGATTGCATTTTGATGGTGGGGTGAGCTTGTGTGGATGCCACTTGACTGCTTGAAGGCCGAATTTGACGCTGAGGTGTCGTTGGCTGCTGCTGATTCGGGCAGTGTGTGTGAGGATGTCCCGACGTCTTGCAGAGGTGGCAGAATGGAGGTACGTAACGTTGTGCTTGAGATTTGTTCTGCTGGTTGTTGTTGTTGTTGTAGCGTCGTTGAGTATGAAAAGCGAATTCTGGTACTGACGTTCTCTTCTTGTGACGTTCCTCGTGCAGGTCCATGTCTTGCTGTTCGGCGTGAATTTCGGCGCAGAGTGCTGCTTCGGAGATCTTCCCGTGGGCTCGAAGAAGGGCGCGGGTGGAGCGCCAATGGGGACCAAGTCCACCGATGATGACAGTGACGAAGGCTTCTTCTGATATTGCTCCTCCGCATCGAAGGAGTCTGTCGCGCAGTCCGCGGCAGCGACTGATATATGCCATCCCCTTTTCGTCTGGTTTCATTTCAACTGTTGTCAGTTGTGCCATTAGCCGGCTTTGATTAACATTGTCTGTTGCCTGATACAGGTTCTTCAGATGACTGTATGCGAGCTCGGCGGAGTTGCCGTATCCTCGATAAGACCGAATGTTCTGCTGCTCGTTCGGCGACATGTTTCTTAGCAGAATCGTGTACGCCATTAACGACTGGTATGTGTATTGTTGCTTGTCGTACTGCGTCCCGTGTGTTGGATATTGCAGGGACCCGTCGAAGTATCCGAAAATCTGCGCGCCTTCCATCATCAGTTCGAATTCGAAGGACCAGGTAAAGAAGTCTTTTCTGTCGAAGGGTGTCGATGTTTGCAGCTTTAACACGTGCGCGAATTGCGACTGTATCTGAATCGCATCTAACGTCTTCTCTTGTCCAGGCGCAGGTTGATTTGGCATGAAGCTGGTGGAGCCACGTTGAGGCTCGTACGGCGCAAAGGTAGGCTGCTGTTGGTTTCCCCGTGCGTATGATGAGCCATCGAGGCTCATAGGTGCAACTCCGTCGTTGTTGTTGTTGTTGCTTGATTGCGCAGGTGCTCCTTGCTGGTGTTGCTCGTAGAAGGCCATGAAGGAGAAGAATTTCTCCATCATACTTGGGTCGAAGCCTGTCGACTGGTTTGCAGTTGTTTCCGTAGACTCAGCGGCTGGTCTCGTTGCCGTTCCTCCATCTGTTTGCAGGCCAGAGGCTGGAGGTGGAGTAGGAGTAGCTCCGATGTTGCCACCAGAGATGTTTTTCTGTGTAGCCATATCTTCGGGTGTTGTAGAATTTTGAATTAGGTTGAAGTTCCCCTTGACTGCTCTCATACCATGTTGGGCTGAGAAGCCCTTAGGATCATTGCAAGGGTAGAACTCTAGGTAGGAACAATGTGGTTGCAGAAGCGTTTAGTGATAAAGATTGAACCACCTTGCACTGGTATGTGAGGGCAAAGTGAACTGATTGAATCAATGAGATACAAGGTTTTATGAGGGTACAAGGAATATGAAGAGATATAGTCAATAACCATTTTGCTATTGCGGTTCGATACAGTGACGACTCGGACAACTGCTCAATAACGAGTCGGTTGTGTGTCCTTGCTGTCGCGCTGTATTTGTCGAGTCAAAGGTCAGCGACCTTTGACCTTCGCGTAACCTCCGGCTGTTACCATTTTGTCAACCTCCTCGGTTGACTCGCCGATGTTCCGTTGTAGTTCGCTTCTTTATGGTTCGGTGTTTCGACACATCAGAAGCGCTTTAGATTACTTGTTTCTAACACTGCCCTGCGTCGCGGTGCCCCACGCACGCTTTGCCCTGCGTCGCACGCCCCGCGCACGCCCTGCCATGCCCTGGGTCGCGCTGCCCCGCGAACGCCCTGCCCCAGCCCGCCGCGTTGCCCGTACGCGGGCCCTGCTGAGGCCTTGCACACCTTCACTCTTGACTCAGGTGCTTCCCGCTGCTTCTTTCGCGACAGTACCACAGTCACACCACTCCCTGCACCTGTTGCAGTCTCTCTGGCTGACCCCTCCGGGGGCCCAGTTCTTGCACGTTCCTCCACTGTTCTCCCGTGTCCGGCGGTTCCGTCTGGCTCACTGACAGGTCTTCACCTCCCCTCGTTCTCTACGAACTTGGTGAGTACCGCCGTCCTTCAGGATGCTGGGGTTGATACCTTTACCCCCGGAGGACAGCGTGTGGCGATCTGCACGTGTGCACGGACGGGCCGTCACCTGGCCACATTCACCCGTCGGCCTGGGTCGAGTCTGTACACACTGACTACTGAGCCTCCTCAGGTCGCTGCGTCTGGTCAGGTGTCTGCGTCAGGTCAGCTGTCAGCCCCTTGTTCGTGTCGCCTCCTTTCGCACCAGACTCTCCTCTGGCACCACCACCTTGGTCACCCCTCCCTGCCACGCCTCCGTGGCATGCACTCCCGCCTCCTTGTCTCTGGCCTTCCCAGGTCTCTGCACTCCCGCGCTCGCCTACCCCACCCTGTCTTCCTTGCGTCAAGGGGCAGCAGCGCGCCACTCCTCACTCCTCCTCGTTTCCCCCGACGACTGCTCCCTTGCAGACTCTCCACATGGACGTGTGGGGCCCAGCCCGCATCAGTGGACAGAGCCGCGAGCGGTACTTTCTGCTGGTTGTTGATGACTACTCGCGTTACACCACGGTCTTCCCCTTGCGCAGCAAGGGGGAGGTCCCTGCTGTCCTGATCTCTTAGATCCGCACTGTTCGTCTCCAGCTCCGCGAGCAGTTCCGCACGGACTTTCGTGTCCTGCGTCTGCACTCTGACAGAGGTGGTGAGTTCTCCTCCGACCTCTTGTGGGACTTTTGTCAGGTGGAGGGCATCCTCCAGTCGTTCACGCTTCCGGCCTCTCCGCAGCAGAATGGGGTTGTTGAGCGCCGCATTGGCTTAGTCATGGAGGTGGCTCGTACCTCCATGATCCATGCGGCTGCTCCCCATTTTTTGTGGTATCCATTTTCTGCGGCTGCTCCCCATTTACCGTTTGCGGTCCGGTACGCTGCACATCAGCTCAACCTCTGGCCCCGTGTCTCCTTACCGGAGACCTCGCCCACACTGCGTTGGACGGGGGAGGTTGGCGATGCGTCGGTGTTCCGGGTCTGGGGCTCTCGTGCCTTTGTCTGCAATACCTCCGCGGACAAGCTCTCCTCCTGTGCCATTCCCCGTGTCTTCCTTGGTTTCCCCCCTGACGCGCCTGGCTGGCAGTTCTACCACCCCACCTCGCGCTGGGTTTTCCCCTCTCAGGACGTCACGTTTGACGAGTCGGTTCCCTTTTACCGTCTCTTCCCTTATCGCACTGCCCCTCTTTCCCCCCCCCCCCCCGCCGCTCTTCCTCGCTCCAGGTCCCCCTCCGGTAGACCCCCTCCCCCCTCAGGGTCCTGCTCCTTCAGGTGTGTCTCAAGTAGACCCACTCCCCTTGGTTGAGCCTGTCGAGGTCACTGGTGACTCTGGTGCTGCTGGGGGTGGAACTGCTCGAGGTGCTACGTCTGGAGGTGCTGAGCCAGCGGGTGCGGAGCCTGAGCGTGAGGTGCCTGGGGGTGCTGAGCCTGCGGGTGTGGAGCCTGGGGGTGCTGAGCCTGAGTGTGCGGAGCCTGGGGGTGCTGAGCCTGGGGGTGCTGAGTCTGGGGGTGCTGAGCCTAGGGGTACTGCGTCTACACTACGGGAGCCTCTCTCACCACAGCAGCTGCGTAGGTGGCTTGCTCGACGCTCCCGCCTTCGGAGTGGCGCTGCTGGAGCTGGAGGCGCCGGGGCTGGAGGCTCTGGAGCTGGAGCTGCTGGTCCTGGAGGTGCTCAAACTGGAGGTACTGGAGCTGCCGGGGCTGGTGGTGCTGCTAGTCCTGGAGGTTCTGGAGGTCTTGTTGGAGCTGGAGGTACTGGGGGTACTGGAGCTACTAGTCCTGGAGGTCCTACAGGTGCCTCGCCACCGCAGTCTAGTCGGCGAGAGCCTCTCTTACCACAATAGGTGCGTGAGTGGCTTGCTCGACGCTCCCGCCTTCGGAGTGGCGCTGCTGGAGCTGGAGGCGCCGGAGATGGAGGCTCTGGAGCTAAAGCTACTGGTCCTGGGGGTGCTCGTACTGTAGGTACTGGAGCTGCCGGGACTGGTGGTGCTGCTGGTACTGGAGGTGCTGGTGGTGCTGGCACTGCTAGTCAAGGAGGTTCCCGTCCTGGAGGCGCTGGAGATGCTAATCCTGGAGGTGCTGGAGGTCCTGCTGGAGCTGGAGGTACTGGGGGTACTAGAGCCACTAGCCCTGGAGGTCCTACAGGTGCCTCGCCACCGCAGTCTAGTCGGCGAGAGCCTCTCTCACCACAGCAGCTGCGTGAGTGGCTTCCTCGATGCACCCGCCTTCGGAGTGACGCTGCTGGAGCTGGAGGTCCTACCGCTGGAGGCGCTGGTGCTGGAGGCACTGGAGCTGGAGGCACTGGAGTTGGCGACTCTGGAGCTGGAGCTGCTGGTCCTGGAGGTGCTCATCTTGGAGGTACTAGAGTTGCCGAAGCTGGTTTTTCTGCTAGTACTGGAGCTGCCAGAGCTGGTGGTGTTGCGGGCTCGGGAGCTGGTGGCGCTGGCGCTGGAGGCGCTGGAGCTGGAGGCACTGGAGCTGGAGGCGCTGGAGCTGGAGGCACTGGCGCTGGAGGCGCGGGCCCAGGAGGCGCTGGAGTCGGAGGCGCTAGAGCTGGAGGCACTGGAGCTGGAGGCACTAGAGCTGGAGGCGCTGGAGGTGGAGGTACTGGAGCTGGAGGCGTTGGAGCTGGAGGTATTGGAGCCGGAGGCGTTGGAGCTGGAGGCGCTGGAGCTGGAGGCGCTGGCGCTGGAGGCGCTGGAGCTGGAGGTACTGTGCAGCAGCGACCGTTCTTCTTGCCGCCGCCGCAGCTGTCCGAGCTCCGGCCCGACTCGGTGCTCCGTCAGGTTCTTAGTCTTCCTTCGTCCACTGCCCTTCCTCCGGACTCACCGCTGCCTGCCCCGTCTCGTTACACTGAGCAGCCAGTCTCCCTTACAGAGCGTCGTGAGCCTGCGTCTCGTCCTGCCTCTCCTGCTCGCACTGCTACCCGTGCTCATCGCGTCCCGCGTCCGCGCCCTCCTCCTGTGCCAGGTACTCACACTATGGCACTTCGTCCCTCCTCTGCTCCCCAGCGCGTCCCACTGCCGTCTCCTCCTGCGTCCTCTCTTCTGCTTGTCCCGGACCCTGAGTCTGGCGCTGTTCGTGCTACTACCCTACTGTCACGCGTCTTCTGGCTACAGTTGTCACTGACCCGTCGTTTGAGTCTGCTGCTGCGTTTGCCTTAGTTGCTGAGCTTGTGGACTTTGCTGCTGCGTGTCGTCTAGACTACGCTGCCAGTCTTGTCGCTGAGTCTGAGTCTGTCTGTCCTCCGTCCGTCGGGGGTGAGTGTGCTCTTGGCACGGACGTCCTTAAGGACAGGCAGGAGGACTTTGAGTCTCTTGCGGCTGCTGTACCTCATCTCGTGGCCTGGCTGCTTGCACCTGAGGGAGACCTGGATGCACTGGACATTCCGAACCCGCGCTCTTACGCAGAGGCGATTTCGGGTCCCTACTCCTCTCAGTGGCAGACAGCCATGGACGCAAAGATGGCATCCTGGAAGTCCACAGGCACCTACGTCGACGAGGTTCCCCCTCCTGGGGCGAACATAGTCGATGGCATGTGGATTTTCAGGGTGAAGCGGCCGCCGGGTTCTCCGCCTGTCTTCAAGGCTCGTTACGTTGCACATGGCTTGAGTCAGAGACAGGGAGTTGACTTCTTTCAGACCTTCTCCCCTACCCCGAAGATGACCACTCTTCAGGTGCTGCTGCACGTTGCCGCTCAGCATGACTACGAGCTTCACTCTCTTGACTTCAGCACAGCGTTCTTGCAGGGCAGCCTGCACGAGGAGATCTGGCTGCGCCGCCCACCTGACTTCACTGGGTCGTTCCCTCTTGGTACCCAGTGGAGCCTCTGGCGGCCAGTCTACGGTCTCCGCCAGGCGCCTCGTGAGTGGCACGACACAATGAGGACGACACTTGCGGCTCTTGGGTTTGCTCCATCCTCTGCTGACCCGTCGCTGTTCCTGCGCACCGACACTTCCCTGCCGCCGTTCTACATCCTCGTGTACGTTGACGACTTGGTCTTTGCCACTGCTGACACAGAGGCACTCGCGCTTGTGAGGTCAGAGCTGTAGAAGAGACACACCTGCACTGACCTGGGTGAGCTGCGTAGCTACCTTGGCTTGCAGATCACCCGGGACAGAGCACGCCGCACCATTACCCTGACTCAGTCACACATGGTGCAGCAGGTCCTTCAGCGCTTCGACTTCCAGTTCTCCTCACCACAGTCCACTCCTCTGTCTACCGGTCACTCGCTCTCAGCTCCACCTTCGGACGAGTCCGTAGAGTCGAGTGGCCCGTACCCAGAGCTTGTGGGCTGCCTCATGTACCTCATGACCTGCACTCGACCTGACCTTGCGTACCCTCTTAGCATCCTAGCTCGCTACGTTGCGCCTGGGAGACACCGGCGAGAGCACTGGGAGGCTGCTAAGAGGGTGCTGCACTACTTGTGCAGTACATCAGGCATGGGGCTGGTGCTTGGAGGACGGGGTGACGTTGTCCTTACTCGACACTCGGACGCCTCTTGGGTTGACGACCTGGCTACACAGCGGTCGTCTCAGGGTTACACCTTCAGCCTTGGTTCCGGCTCTGTCTCTTGGCGGTCTACCCGCTCGTCTTCTGTTCTCAGCTCCAGTTGTGAGGCTGAGATCTATGCCACAGCCATGGCTGCACAGGAGTTACGCTAGCTCACCTACCTGCTGACTGACTTGGGAGAGCGGCTTCGTTCTCCTCCAGTTCTGTACGGTGACAACAAGGCAGCCCTCGCCTTGTGTCAGGAGCACAGACTAGAGCACAGAACGAAGCACATCGCTCTGCGTTACTTTCTTGCTCGAGAGCTGCAGCAGCGTGGCCAGATTCCTCTTGCTTACGTGGACACGCGGGCCAACACAGCTGATATATTCACCAAGGCACTTCCGCCTAGTGATCATCAGCGTCACTGCACTGCTCTAGGTCTCGTGCCTACGTTCTCTCACTTGCTCACTGCTTGACTTTGCTTGTACTGTGATCTATATATATACCTGCATGCTTACACTTGCTAGGTAGTGATCACTGTACTGTTTGCTCTCTCTTATATAACTATGCATGTGAACTGGCCATGTGGCCTTTGTGCTTGTGCTCGGAATGTGTGGTGACTTCGTGATCCACCCTGAGCTTGCTTTGCTTGTCTGTGACTACTTGTGCTCCCCCACCTTGCCTATGGGGGTGTGTCAGAACATTGTGTTGTGTAGGCTGTAGTGGGGTAGCCTATATGGGGTACAACCCAGTTTAGGGTTAGTACTTGTACCAAACTGTTGCATAGTTCATTCATTCCTGCTGTTCATTCTCACAACGAGGTTGTCTATGCAGTGCAGGCAGTGAGGTTTGGGTTATTCCCGAAGCGTAGGCCGACCTAGACCTATAAAATAGTAGTTTGGCAAGAGATGGCGAAAGCAGTTATGTGGTAACGGGCGAAAAACGGTCGACCCAGTGAACAATGTTGTACAAGTCACGGGTCCGGCGCACAAGTCGACACTGGCATGGCGGTTTCCCCGTCGACCAACTAACCAGGGCGACGAGGTTCTGCGGGGTTGCGTGAACGTCGCCCAAGTAGTCGTGGCGAAGTCGACCGACATGACAGCACGTGGTCGACGTGGCTCATCAGGCGCAACTGTCGGCACGTAGCCGACTTGGCAGCTGCGCGCAGTGCGTAGCAGTGCACGTCGTGCACAACCGTCTACAAGCACATGCGAAGTAGGTGCGCGCACATGCGCATACAATCACATGCGGTTGCAACGCTGGCAGACCGATTTGCAGCAGCGTTGGCAAGCCGCCGACTTGCTCTGCTGGCAGGCCGCCTTTTTGCAACGTTGGCGCGGTGCCTCTACTCAGTGCTGGCAGGTCGCCGACTTTGCTGCGCTAGAGTGCTGGGTCACCGATGGGAGTCCTGGGTCAGCGGTCACCCCGACCACCTCTCCTTTGAGTGTCCCGACCGCGAAGAGTCCGACGATGACGGCATTAAGGGAAACCACGGAAGGTCGGACAGTCGTCAAAAGCGTCAGGAAAACAAGGCGTGCGAGCAGAAGCAATCGACGAGGTCGACGACGTCGACAAAGGACGCCGACTCCTCTTGCGGTAAGGGATTGTCAAAGTGCTAACTGCTGAATGAATTGACTAGAATGAGCAACTACAAGAGTAGATAAAGAAACCCTAACCCTAGCACTAACAAAGTTGTACACCACCTAGACTAGACAATACAAACTATAACAATCATAGTTTGACACACCCCCACAGTCTAAGTGACGGCAGTCCTGTGGAAAGCAGCACTTATCTCAGGGTGGATCAGGAAGTCACAACACAGTCTGAGAACAAAACAAAGGTCGGGGTGCAAGATCACCGAATACTTCGAGAACAAGCAAGAGGCCACAAGGCCAGTCCACATGCAAGTACGTAGCAAATATAGAAGATGCAAGAGTACAAGTCAAGAATGGTAAGCATCTCTACCGAAGCAAAGGGCCACAAGGTTAGTCTACAAGTAGATCTATAGCAACTATAGTGAGATGCAAGAATACAAGGCAAAGCATCTCTACGCAAGCAAGTGAGGGTCTGTAGACACAAGGCCCAGCTGGGTGCAGAAGCGTTGGTGGTCACAAGGCGGCAACGCCTTGGTGAAGATATCTGCAGTGTTGGCCTCAGAGACCACACGTACCACGCGGGCCTGGCTACGCTGCTAAAACTCTCGCACAAAAAAAGTAACGAAGCTGGATGTGCTTCGCCTTCCTAACAAGTCGGGGCTCCTCGGACAACAGGACAGTAGGCCTGTTGTCGGCGAACAAGACTGGGGGAGAGCGAGGAAAGACAGCCAGCGAAGCTCCTAGGCGTCCATGGCCGCAGCGTACACATCTGCCTCACAGCTGGAACTGGAGACGGACGACGCCCGAGTCGACCTCCACGAAACATCTCTGGTCCCAAGGCTGAAGCAGTAACCCTGTGTAGACTGCAGCGACTCAGCGTCGTCGGCCCACGACGAGTCTGAGAAACATGTAAGTGTAACTGGTTGCTTCCCTCCAAGGACAGGTCTCATGCCTGATGTAATCGCCACATACTTCGCCACCCTCTTAGCAGCGTACCAGTGGGAAGGTCGTTGTCTACCAGGCTCAACAAAGCTCTCCACGACGCTAAGAGGGTAATCTAGGTCTGGGCGAGTACAGGTCATCAGGTACATGAGACAACCCACCAACTCAGGAAAAGGACCACTGGACTCAAATGGCTCATTCCCATGATCCACAGCAAGAGGGGTGAGCTGTACCTTGGAGAACGGGAAGCGGAACCGCGTCAGGAGCTGCTCTACCATATGCAATGCGTCAGCGTAATGGTGCGAGCTGCCCTGTCCCTAGTGATCTGCAGGCCAAGGTAGTGGCGTAGCTCACCAAGGTCAGTGCAAGTGTGTCTCCTCTGCAGTTCCTTCTTCATGGAGGCCGCGTCGGTACGGGAGTGGCAAAGACCAGGTCGTCAACGTAAACAAAAACAAAGGACGGGGTCAGTCCACGGTGAACAAACAGTGACGGGTCAGCAGACGACGGAAAGAAGTCAAGTGCGGCAAGTGTCGTGCGAAGTGTGTCGTGCCACTCATGGGGAGCCTGGCGCAGACCGTAGACCGGTGGACGCAGCTGCCACTGGTGTTCAGGAGGGAAAGAGACAGTGAAACCAGGCAGACGATGCAACCAGATCTGCTCGTACAGGCTCCCTTGGAGGAACGCTACGGAGAAGTCCAAGGAGTGTGACTCGTAGTCGCACTGAGCTATAATATGCAGCAACACCCGAAGAGTGGTCATCTTTGGGGTGGGAGAGAAGGTCTGGAAGAAGACTATCCCCTCGCGCTGACTGAAGCCTCTCGCCACATAGCGCGCCTTGAACACCGGTGGTGATCCAGGCGGCCGCTTCACCTTGAAGAGCCACATGCAACTGATGAGGTTTGGCCCAGGTGGTTGGACGGCGTCGACGTAGGTAACTGTGGACCTATAAGATGCCATATCTCCCTCAACAGCTGCTATCCAGTACAAAGCCTAGGGACCCGAGACCGCCTCAGCGTGAGTGCGAGGGATCGAGATGTCAAGGGCGTCTAAATCCCTCACATATGAGGAACAGCGGCCGCTAGGAAACCAAGCTCGAACTGCCTGTCCTCGAAGATCTCCAGGGGAAAGACAGGAGCACCCCTAGAGTACGGAGAACGAGCAGGGCCACTCACCAGGTGAGCGGCGTAGTCAAGGCGGTGGGAAGAGGCAAAGCCAGCGACAGTGGTAAGAAGAGCTAAGACGGACAGAGTGGGGGCACACGGGTGAGTGGCCAACGCGGACAGAACACGGGAGACGCCAGGACAGGAGGCACAGAGGTAGTCGAACAACGGGTCGTGAAACACAGCTAGGGACGATTGTGGAGGCTGTGGAAAGACCGGGGGAGGTGGAACACGAGAGAACGACGAGTCCATGGGGACGAGGAAAAGGACTCGACAGGGGGAACAGGAGGGGACGGTAAGGGGCCACGAACAAAGTGTGCAGGTGCTGGGTCAGGCAGATCGCGCAATCGCCGCTGCTCTGCCTCTTCTGGCGTCTGCTACAACGGCACATGTCTCTACTGCTGCTCCTGTGGCTCATCCTCTGCCCTCTCTTGCTGCAGCTGCAGTTGCACCTGCTGCTGCGACCGGGACTCCTGAACTATGTTGGGTGCAAATGCACATTGCACGACATCCTGCCGTCTGTTTTGTACGAGTATGCGTGTGCGAATGCATTTGTGTGTGAATGGTGTGTTCGTGTGTTTGTTTGCTTTCGCATTTTTCGCTTGATGCATTTGCAGGTACTCGCGCAATGTGCGCTTCGGCACAACATTGTATGCGCTATGAACAGTGCAAGCAGAAAGGACGAGCTCGCAAAGGAACCCAAGATGGAAGCTTTGCAGTTCGGTTGAGTTGATTGCGCAGATTCAGTTCTATCCAACTCGGAATTGTACTGTTTTGTTTGGTTAACTATAGTGTAGCAGGGAAGGCACTATAGGGGTACAATTTAGGTGAAGGTTGGATGTTGTTTGTCTGTATCTGCAT